TTGAGGGAAAAAGATAGATGAATTAATTATCTACGACTAGTATCTTTAGTGAAAATGATATATGGACTAATTATCTGTGGGTAGTTACAGTCAAACAGTATTTAAATATCGATGAATGAATGAATGAATGAATGAATGAATGAGCGAATGAATGAATGAATGAATGAATGAATGAATGAATGAATGAATGAATGAATGAATGAATGAATGAATGGTCTTCAGTAGTGAGACATATATAGACACACAAACACACAGACGAGAACAGAGACAACTTCACTAACGGTGCAAACGAAGGCCAACGCCGAGACAGACGTAAGTAAGGTTAGCATGAATGTCCCAAACCAGATGAAATAATCAGCATGTCCAATTAAGAAGAGGTAACCGCAGAAAGTCAGTGATACGAAGCCGAGCAACAATGTTGTTAGTGTGAAGAAGAAAAACCAAGCCCTGTATGTATTCGGATGTTTTTTTTTTGTTGGTTCAAAAAATGTTTCAAAATTTTTTAATTTCTCAATCAATTTTGAAAAAGTAATAGATTAGTAAAAGATATTATTATAAATTGGAAAACTGTTACAGGCAAAAAATGATTCCATATATTTAACCTTATTAAGATCGCACAAAACGGTAAAATAAAAAGTCGAAGACCGTTTAGAACTTCATCCGAAAAACTTTCAAAAAAAAAAAAAATTTAGTAAAAAAAAAACCAAGCGACCGACCTATTTTTCAAGCCGACGCAGTTGTTAACGTAGTAACAGTGGTGGTCCATGACCTCGACACACCTGTTACAGTACCTGCAGTGTTTCGACCTCTGCGGCTTCACTATTCGACACGAGTGGCAGAGGGAGTTGAGGGCTTTCGAAGCGTCGCCGGCCTCCGTCTGGAAGGTTATCTGAAAGAAGTTAGGCACAAAATGCGTTCGCAATGGCGCTCTTCTGATCTGCAATGCCGCCAACGTTTGACGAGATTTTTGTATGTAGAGTTGTTTGTCGATTGGGGAGTGATTGTTGCGTTGAGAAGTTAAATGTGTGTCTGTCTGTGTGTGTGTGTTTGTGTGATTTGCGTGTGTATGTAAAATTTGTGTGTGTATGTAATTTGTAAGTGTGGTTTGTGAATGTGTGTGTAATTTGTGTGCGTACGTGTGTGTACGTGTAATTAGTGTGTGGGCGATATTAGATTTTATTAGAATACTATTTACAATTTTTAATTTTTTATAAAGTTTATTTCATTAACAAAGCCATGGATGGATTGATTGATGGTTGGATGAATGGATGGATAGATGAAATGATTGACATGCGAAATTATAGGAAGAATTCATTGACTGAACTGACACCTAAATTGTAAAAATATTGTAATGTGGCGTTTCTAGCATGAGTCTCAAATGATCAGCCAATCTACACAAACAACGAATTTAAAATGCCAACGTTAATATCTTAACACAAAAAAA